GTTTCAATTTCGCCGCTTTCCTGCAGTTACTCGACGTCAAATATTACGTTACGCGATCGAGCGAGCGAAATATTCACAATCGCGAGCGAATGTTGCTAGCCGCGGGAAACAACATGTAAAGCCCGACCGCGGCGGGCTGCTTCGTTGGAGATTGCATCGCGCAACTTAGCTCATCGGGACTAATCTACACATCGACGAACCAGTGGAACGTCATACAAGTGCGTTCATGTTGGATTCGCGATTCGGATCATGGCCCTACCGCTACATATCGCCGCCTCGCATACTTTGCCTCGTACGAGGCGAGCTTAAAATCGGAAACGGTCCGGAGAAAGCCAAGGATCGAGATCGAGCTCCTCGTGGCCAGGCCCGCGAACGACGCGTTTCCAGAAACTTTCCAACTTGTAGCCGGCGCTCTGATCGGATTAATTTCCGGAGTAAATTTAATCTGCATTTGGCAACTAATTACGAGCCGCGCTTTTCAAGATAACGCATAGGCATCTCGGGTCGCTCGGCAATTATAACTTGACGCGCACACACTTGTATACTTCGTGAATGCGACGGATATTTCGCGAGAAAATGTAGTCTCGGCACTTTTAGTCCTTTCGCAGCGGGAGAAGGGAGAGAGGAAGTCCTCATTCCTTGCGTCTTCTCGAACCACATGTAAATATTATTTAAGACGGTTAGTCGCAATTTGCTGTCTTCGTTAATCGCATTTTATTAGGTGTTTCGGTTAATTCCAACTACAAAATACATTGATTAATTAATCAAAATATTTTCCATTGTTTTGTATTACTTTTTTCCATCTTTCTAATAAGAGATGAATTCCGCAGCGATAGAACGACTTAGGTTTTGAAGCAATCCATTCGTTCATGCATTTTCGGACTTCTTCGTAAGAAGGGAGTGAAAAAGTCAGCAATATTGGCCCAAACTGCAAACTTTTAGAACCTAACGGATTATCTTGTATGCCACAATAGTAATTGTAAGACAGTATTTTTTAACCAAAAATGACGGGACTATGGCAAAAATGAATCAAAAAGGTCCAAATATTGGCTACTTAAGGTAATGAATGGACGGACTTAACCCATTGAATTTTATGCTTAGACTACATGAGATACTATCAAAGTAACGTATATGAAGGAAAAAGAATAATATGAAAGTCATGTAAAAGTTCAAGAAAGAGCGATTGCTTAAAAAAATTTTTAAAGACAGAGTCATGCGACTCCACACTCATTACTTTCGCAGTTTACGACTCCAAACTCTTATGCATGTATAAGACCTTAGGTGCTTAGGTATGGGTATGAGTGTGCGTGCGTGTGTCTGTGTGTGTGTTGCACAGAGAGCGGAGACCCCACGGTTCGTCGCTCCCAGTATTTTACGACTCCAAACTCCCTCTCTATGTATGTACACGAGTGTGTGCGTATGTGTGTGCACGAATTTTCGGAAGCATTTGAACACAATGCACACTACGAAAGGTGGCTGTGAAAACGACCGATGAAAACTATTTGCAATTAAATCGACGATCGAGAATTAACGCACGCACGCACGTACCCACCCATCTACATACACACACACACACACACACACACACACACGCACGCACAGTCTCATCCACACTTGCACTCACACGCATACCCACACCTAAGCACCTAAAGCCTTGAATATGCATAAAGAAGGAGTTTGGAGTCATAAAATACTGGAGCCGATATGGATAGTTGGCCTAAGTCTACTTATGATTTGCATTTATGTTTGTCATAATGGATTTACTTTTCATCACCAGTGACAATCCGTACAATCAGGTACAAAAAACACTTTTTTTGCCTGGCAATCAGAATAGTGGCGATGGACACACAGTTCGGCATGTTCGCTTCGGTCAGTTCATGAGATATCCATTTTCCTTCTTTTTGAATTTTTTCCATTGCATAGAAACGGTCAGAAATTGTCGAAACTGCAACATTTAGTGCCTTAGCCAATTCCTGTGTTATGAGTGTTTGAGATTGATTTTGGTTTAATGCTTGCAGTTCGGCATCTTCAAACTTTTTTGGCTGACCTGGACGTTCCTTGTCTTTTACATCAAAAGCACCACTTTTGGATTATTAAAACTAATCTCTACATGTTATTTCTAACGGAGCAGAGTCATCATAAGTTTCCACTAATATTCGATTCGTGTTTCAGCTGCAGTTTTCTTTATATCAAAATAGTGGAGGGGAATCTATAAAAAAAAACAACTTATCGCGTTCCATTTTGAATTGATTTAGAAACAATATCATTGCTTGCAAAAATAAACCTTGGTGGACTGAATTCCATTAAAAAACGTCTAACCTTTAATATAGCATGAGTTCCAGCTGTTACAGTTCACTACATTTGCAGCTGGAATCATATTTAAATGCGAATAGCAGAAATTAATCGAAATATCTGATAAATAGTTAAAGCTAAATTTCGGGTGAAGGAAACGGGGCCAGAAATTCCCTTTCCTTCAAACGATAGGCTAAGTCTGGCTCGTTCGTGTTAATTTAGTCATACTCTTTTCTCTCCGTGCGGAGTAATACCCGAAAACCGAAACACCACCATCTACCTCCTTCTCCTTCTCGCGGAGCGAAAGCGGTAAATTTTCTCTCTCGTCAAGTCGCAGCGGAATATGCACGGTGAAATTTATATTACCCGAAGACGAGTTGTTACGCTGGAGAATAAAATCCGCGGATCCAATATGCAATCGTTGGAAGTAACGCGAGTTTCGGCGGCGTTCATCATCAGCGCGATCAGTGGCTCCCCGGGGCGCACTTGCGGAAATTTCCTGCCCACTATTACTGTCCGCTATTTTAGAAAGTATGGGAGCCAAATGGCCAATAAAGAGAAGAGAAAGGCGATAATATTCAGCGGGTAATACGCGGAATGTGCGCGATCTCTCGTAAAGTTGACCTAACCTCGCCGCGCGTGCGGACCTTATTATTAGATTATCCGTGCGTCCGCGCGAGGATGTCATTGCGAGGATGTCGGTGATTGACGATATCGCGATGGTCACCTTTGCTACTGCTGCTGCTGCTACTTTCGCCGTCACATCGCGCGGCACAGGCAGATTTGCAGTTGAAATTTTAATTGGGCGTTCTTGATTCGCCACTTCACGCTACGCGCTACGGAGATTACGATATCGACTCGCGCTAAATTACACCGCCGCGTGTGCAACACGATCCAAGTTTCCTCGAGGATGCTCCAGCATCAGCCAGCAACTTTGACAGTAAAATTAATGACACACCGCGGCAGATACATGTGGGCGCGAACGCTCTTTAATACTCGGCGGGGATGTTGCGCAACTTTCGAAAATGATGTTTCTCGCGAAGCTCCAAGCACAGGATAAACACGTAGAGTGGTATTTGTAATTAATTTTTCGTTTACCAGGCGAAAATGAAAAGAAGGAGAAGAACACGTACGCGCGCGCGGGATTTTTGACTTTGGCTTTTAACTTTGGAATTCATAATATTCGGAGGGAATTGCGAAATGCATAGCGAGCGCGATGCGTTGGATGGTAATGCGCGACGGAAATCCTCTAAAATTTCAGAGATCGCGCCGGAAATAAACGTACTCGAGGTTGTAAAATGTAAGTTTCACGGTAGTCGTCGGAAGAAATGTTGCGAGGAAAATTAACGGCGGGAAGGGAGGGGGGGGAAATTGCATTTACGGAGGATCGTTTTGACGCAACGCGGATGGTTTGCAGCGCATTATAAAATTCGTTCGCACAGCTCCGTCTCGCTGAGCTCTCTTTACGAACGTGTCTTTATCCCTATTTGTATTTTCCTTCGTTTCTTCGCGGTCTACGTGATGCTTTCTCTAGGACTCGCACGACCGTTATCGCGGCAGGCGTCCTTCTTTATCAATTTTATGCAAGGGGAAGCTCCGCCGCAAGACGCATCACAGTGATTTCCTCCACCACGGGCGGCTCGGGCATTTCCTTTTATCTTTATAACAGCTTCGCGAGACGTATTTACATTGTGTGTTTGTGCTTGAGGTAGTAAATAACGATGGAACTGTCGCGTACTTTTAACATCCTTACCTTCAACATCCCTGCGATACTTTTGACTTCTTAACTCGTACTTTGTACTTCTTCTCCGCCGTAACATCGCAACGTCGTTTAGTGTTTAGCTACTCTTTGTTGATTTTTTGATTATATTTTACAGACACGTACATTTAAAAAAAAGTAATTTCAGAACAAGCGGAATTATTTAAATTTTAGAGGATTTTATTCTTATATATGGCCTATATATAAGAGGATTTCTCTAAGATTAAGAGGAAAATATTATAAACACATTATTCTTAAAGTTAGAGGGATTATATGTTACATGTATAATGTAAATCTTATTGATTTTAATATAAATTTCTTCTTATACACAGATTATTTAATCTTTTTTTAAGAGAAATATTATTTATTCTTACTATATTTTATTCTTACTGGTTATACTGATTAATTTGAAAAATGTTATTATAATATATAGCGAAAAGTGATATGTATATAGATGCATTTCTGGCTCCACTTCTACAATAAGTAGGTACAAATGAAATAAGATCATCATAAAAACAAATTTCCAATCAATTTTGTTATGGGCTTTATAGCTACAAAGTGTTCATCATAACCAATTTTATGAAATATAATTAAAAGAAAGAATATATTATTCAACTTCTTGCAATAGATTATTTAGATTAGATTATTTAAATTAGATTAGAAACTGCATTTAACCAAATATGGGTAAATTATCTTCGTTATATGTTACAGCAACACACATACCTTTTTTAAAAAGCTTTTTTTTTCAAATATTCTGACCCATGAGAATATTGGTTATCTTTTCGTTCATGTCTGGAGATAGAGTGTGACTGAACAAAAGATGCCGACATTCAAATCAACACATTCCTCTTCATGTAAGAGGAAAATGAATTGATATAATAGGAAGTCCTCTTGAAATAAGAGGAAAATAGTTAGAATAATATCTAATAAATTTTAGATGAATGGTCCACTTTAATCTCTTTATCGAAGGAGAAATCCTTTTTCTGCAAAAGGCTTCGCTTAGAATATGCGACTGTGGGAAAAATCACTTTACAAATAGAATACTTTTTTTGGATGTAAGCAAAAGAAATTACGAGAAAACCTTCATCATCCGGCGTGACGTACGAAAGTCGGCGCAAATTGCGACTTTTAAAGTCATTTTATCGAAAAGCGCATCAACACGTCGGCAACATGTCATGCTGGTATTTAGCCTTTAAATGGCGTTATAAGGATCGGCGGTAACACGACGATGAAACAAATTTGCCGCGCGTGAAAAACAGTGGTGATATTTTTTAGTCCAGTCGCACAATTTAATCGAATTGTACCAGCTGACGTTTTATCGTCATACATGTTCGCGTCGATAAAAATTGCGTCGAATTTTCAAAATGTTGTGACGTGCACACGAATCGCGACATCAAATGCGGGACATAAAGGACTTGCCGGGCGGTTAACGCGCTTAATTAGCCAACTCAAAGTTCGGCATCGCACACACAGTACCGCGCGTGTTGACTTGATTTTTCAATGAAACTGGCGCGGTGGTTCGTGGAAGCCACGTCCCAATTTCGACGACTTCGCCGCGCGAAGTATGCTTATTATCCTGCGATTTCGACGTTATGCTGAAATATCGACAGGATCAAAGCAGAGCGTAGAAATCCTGCGAATAGTAACGCGCGGCGAGAATCCTCATCCGGCGGGTCGCGTCCCGCGACGAAAGGTCTCTCGTTGCTTGAGTCGCGCGCTAAATGCGATTCCCAAATCCCGCCGTAAAGGGCAAAATTGGCGCACCCTTTGACCTCTGAAAAATGCGCTCTCGATCTGCCCGCCGGATGAGTGCACCTGTGCACACCGCCGCAGATAGAGTGCTCTCGAGGCAAAACTGTGTGCGGAAGAAAGTCTAAGCGGGATTTTCCGTGTCAAGAGCGGAGGTGACTTCTCCCCTTTGGTTACGCCGCGCGCATGCGCAATTTTGTGTCACACAGGTAGCGTAACGCCTCGTGCAGAATTCCGTGCCTGCCATTTCCGTCGTGGAAGCGCACGCACTGCTTTTCTCGTCGTCATCTCGCGTTTGCAACGCGCCAAGTGGTGTGCTCCTCTGCACGGCGCACTCGCAGCGGGTCTCCTCCGAGCGAGAATTCCGCGGAAGCTGTATTTTTCAGCGCGTTTTTAATTTTCACTCGGAAGCGCTTCGGCTGTTGTACGTCTTCTCGCGCGCGCGCGCGCGCTTTGCAGCGGGTTGACCTAGATTTCGAATGGGAAAATAGCCGCCATTTCCGACGCAGTGTTAACGCGTTTCCTTCCGAATACACACTTCGTAGCCATACATACTGATTATTCCTTTGTGAGGGATTAACAATGTCACCTTTCTCACAGCGAGCAGCTCAGATTGCATCCGCAGCGCGCAGCGCGGAGCGAAGGGAAAATGCCGATTGCAAAGTACTCGAGTGGTAATTACGCGAGTGGCTTTCTAGCTGTTGGCCTGACTCGCGATTCACCGGGCTGGGGATTCGCCGAGGCTGATTGCTCGCGTTGCAATCCGAGGAGTTTGCTCGAAGCGCTGGCCGTGTCCGGCCATCAGCAGACTCCTTAAATTACCCTTCGATCTCGGCCGCGACAGCCATCGCGGCCATCCTGTTATTTTTGTCAAGAGACCGAACGAGACGAAATCGTCGCGCGCTGCTACATCTGTTAGCGATATTTCAGCCCGAAACAAAATACGACGGGCGGATCTCCGCTTCTCTGGCGCGGCGCCAGCTGACGCGGACGCCACCGCGTTCAATATCGCGATTGCGGAATGAGGTAATACGCTCGCCCGCTGGATCGTCGTATTTTCGTTCGGTGACTTATAGCGAGATCGACGCATTTATCGAACGCCCGGGTGACGTGTGTCAACGTTCGCGACGTCGTCCTGCTGCCGGTCGAATCCACCGATTCGTCGGATTCGAGGAACGGTGTTTCACGGTTCGTCACTCGCCCGCCGCGGCCGCGGCGGCACGCGCTGCGAACTCGCGTCGTTGCGGAACACGGCCGCGCGTTTATTCGCATGATTTACGAGGTCGTAATTTTCGGCTCGCGCCGTGGACCCCTTCCGACAGCTCCGGCGCGCGGCAGATTACGTCCGAACGCGAGATAAAATGGCCGAGGGGAGGGGGGAGGACCGATTCGAAGCGCGGGCCTAGAATGATCTAGGGCCTATTAAATCATCGCCAGCGGGCCGCCGTATCGGCCGTCGTGTTTGAAGACATTCGTCTTACCGCACGCGGCTCGTCCCTCAAGATCGACGAAAGAGACAGAGAGAGAGAGAGAGATGTGAGAGAGAGAGAGAGAGAGAGAGAGAGAGGAGGAGCAGCGGCGAAGCGTCGTCCGGTTGACGACGCCTCATGTCCGCCCGGGGCTGTCTCTTTCCACTGCTTGTCCTTCTTCGACGCCGAGGCTTTCTTCTTGTATCTTAGCCAAGCTGTGGCCGCGGGTGTCCTTCACGAGGAGGGCGCAGAGGGCACCGGCCAGCCAGCAGAAGCTGGCAAACAGCCACATGCTCCTCGGCACGCCCAGGGTGTCCAGCATCTCGCCGAAGGTCATCGTCGCGATCAGAGACAGCAGCCAGTTGAAGGCGGCCGCGCAGGCGGCGGCGGTGGCCCTCACTTCCATCGGGAAGCTGTCGCCCAACAACGACCACGAGATCGGCCCGACGCCGAGGTTATAGGCGGCGAAGAACAGCGTCGTCCACGCCGGCGACATCCAGTAGTAGATATCGTCATACTCCGGGTCTCGCTCTCGCAGATCGTGGAACCAACCTGCAAACGCACACAGACCGAGATCTTATCGGCGCGGTGATCGCGCAGCTTCGTTATCAGCCCTTCGCGATGTTTGCGAGCGAAACTCGGGAGAGAGACTCGAAGATTCGCAGATCGGACTTGGGAGATTGATACACGTGCTTTTCGCCTGCGTTGCTCACAAGTGCTTCGCAGCTTGAAAAGTGCTACGGTTTGCTGGAAAGTCACGATAGAACGAAATCCGAGTGCCGAGTTTCATTTCGACGCAATCGCGTCCCGGCGGATTATCGCGCTGCTCGGATCTCGAGATTCTGATTTTCCGCGACAATGCGCGACCACCGGAAAATTTTGCGAGACCAGTGCCGCGTGGTATCACGCAGGTATTGAAGCGAGGGGAGAGCCGAGAGGACAGGGTGCGCAGAAGACACGGGCGTTTCGATCTTTATTCAAGTCTCTCTTTCCCCCTCTCCTCTCCCTTGGTCTATAATACACGTGAAAATCAATAAACCATGGAATACGAGACTCTGACCGTAATAAAAACCGAGACCCGCTCGCCTCGCCCACGCCGCGCCGGTCCCTTGGGTCTGACCGGTTCTGTCTTCTTCCACTAGCTTTCTACATCCTTCGGCTCGTATCTGTCACCATCTCTCGATTCATCGAGTTATGTACTTTCACGACGAGCGCGGGTCGATCCGAAGCGCAATTTTCAACCGCACGCACAATGGGCCAGGAGATTCGATTTCGTGGCCAAAAGTCGGCGAACCCATTAAAATATACAAAAATAAATTGTAATTATGCTTATATATGGTTTTTTAGGTTGCTGATTCCAATTTTAAAGTCAAAACTTCAAAATTCCAAATGGCGAATCCAATATGGCGAAAGATTATTTTTAAAAAATTATTGGATATACTCTAAACGTAGCATATAGGGATTTTTGAGGATGCTAATTACGAATATGTATTTAATATTGCAAAATCCAAAAAATAATTGATCCAATGTGGCGGGCGATTATTTCGACTTTGCTAAAGTAAAAATTTTTAAATTCAACATGGGAGATTCAGTATTATTATTATTATTATTATCATTATTATTAATTTGCAAAATTGTCTATAAATAATGTAAACAATAATAAATGTATGTGAGGACTACATCTATGTCTGATGATTTTGAAAGCAACTCAAGAATCTCTCGTTTGCTGAATTTCATTTTCTTAGAATAAAGTAAATAATGGTAAATTGACATATAATGTATATATGTAATACAATAACGCAAAAGAAATGATGAAACATAAAACATGAATTAGTTAGTTGTAAGTATCCTATTGTAATCCATCGCACTGCGATGAATGAATTCAAAATCGGCAACTTCGAAAAACTATTCTTATCAGTTTGGAAACAAATTTGACAAAATCTCAAATTCTCGATAGTTTTTAGAATTTTTTATCTTATGTATTCAAGTAAATGTAACTTATGATATCAAATATGATTTCTCTCTGGCATTGTAATCAAAAGGCGCAAAAAGTTATATTCAAGTTATAGTTTACATCCTTACGAGCAATTTGACGTATCATATAATTGATTTCAGAGTGGAAGCTCAGAGAAGGTTTCATTTGAAATTGAACAAGTGTATTATAAGATTCGAAACTATTAGTTTTATCAGACGAAACAAAGTCAATGTACCATGAGGAACTTCATGTATCGATAAAAATAACTTTATTTGTTCAATTTAACAATATAAATGTACTGCTATAATATTTGATAAGATAAGATTCATAGCAAAGGGTGTATGAAAGTCATAGAACGTTTTAAATTTGCAAACATAGTTTTTTTACATTCACAAGTCCTTCCACAAGCAATACCAATTAACATAAAGAAACAATATTTCAGCAGTTAGTGTAGGAAAGTGTATATAAATATATAGTTACACATATGTTTGATTTCATGTAAGTTCAAGAAATTGAATTTTGGCCAACCATAGTGGACTTCTGGCCCACTGTGGCGCGTCTCGATTCGTATTTATCAATATCGCGTTATCGCGGGGCCGGCTTTGATTTACTCTGCGTATGAATCCGCGAAAGGAGAAAAAGAGAGCGAGAACGAGAGAGAGAGAGAGAGAGAGAGAGAGAGAGAGAGAGAGAGAGAGAGAGAGAGAGAGAGAGAGAGAGAGAGAGAGAGAGAGAGAGAGAGAGAGAGAGAGAGAGAGAGAGAGAGAGAGAGAGAGAGAGAGCGAGCCTTTGTGCTTACATAAGAAGGAACGTGAAATAATGCACGCTGCGCGCGAATTGTTTCTTGCTTGATAAATGGTGCTTTTCGCGGCGTCACAATACACCGTGAATTCGCGTGGATCAAGATGAATGTAACTTTCCGCGAGAGAGAGAGAAAGACAGAGAGAGAGAGAGAGAGAGAGAGAGAGAGAGAGAGAGAGAGAGAGGAGGGGGGAAGAGAGAGAGAGAGAGAGAGAGAGAGAGGTGGAGGTTTCTCTATTTTTTACGAGCCGCGAACGTGTGGATGGCTCCGACGTGTGTATTAGTGCGGCAGCGCTCGGTGTCGAAGCACAGCGTGGAGTACTATTAAGCGGAAGTAGCGTGTTCCGTGTTGGAACGTGGCCAAAGCTGCGAAAGCACGTTACAGATGTGACGTGGCGACTCGTTCTTTGAAAAATGGCACGTGTTCGAGGCGGCGACGGCGGTAATACAGTGTGTCGGCGCGGTACACGCAGCGACGCCCTACGAGGCGGAATCATTGCGGGCAATTTTCGTGTCGTGACGCGATCAAACGCCGTTTGTGCAAGTCGCGCACGTTTCCCACAGGATGCGCGTCGAAGAAGAGAGAAAAAGCGGAAGGGAGCCGAGCGAATGAGAAACCGAAGCACGCGCGGAATATGTTTAAGCTGTCGTCGCATGTTATGGGAATTGCAAATTTCCCTAGCTGCGAACACTTTCGGTTATCTGGTCCCGGGACAAGTTGCAAACTTTGGTTGCAACTTCTTCCTCCTTTGAAGGAACGTGAAGGACCGATGGAGTCGAGGAAGCTTCCTCTCGAGTCTCATATATTAGGAGCGTGATTTAGTTTTGAGGGTTTTTTTTTCAAAAATTGACTTACTTAAACAAGATAATGCACGAGTATCTTAATCAAAATATTTTCCTTCATTCTCTTTTTCCCAACTTTTTCCCATCTTCCTAACAAGAGATGGATTTACCGACGATAAAAATATTCTTCTTTGTAGCTGATCCAATTTTCAACAAATGTTCTCACTTGTTCGAAGTTATGAAAGTGTGTATCTTCTACGGCATGTTGCATCGACCGGAACAAGTGATAATTGGATGAAACTATGTCTGGAGAATACGGGGTGAGGTCGAGCATTGTCGTGAAGAAGGATCACTTTGCGTCGTTTACTCGCACTTGGTGATCGTTTTTGTTCCAATGTCCGCTTCAATTTGTATAATTATTGTCGATAACGATCAGCGGTGACAGTTTTATTCGGATTTAACAGTTTATAGTAGCAACACCTTCTTGATCCCATTGAATAGCCAGCGATACCTTTGAACCGTCAATTGCGCTTTGAAGTGGATGTTACTGGTTGATCTGGACCAACCTATGGTTGTTTCATTTGAGATTATCGAAATAGATTCATTTTTACCCCAGTAACAATTCGATACAAAAAACTTTTTGTATCTTCTGGAGATCAATGAAATACAAATGTTCAACCGGCTCGCAATGACATTTTGCGATAATGACGTAGAACGCATTTTCCTTCCTTGTGAATCTTTTCTATATCATATAAACCAGGGTTTCCCAACCTTTTTTATATTTCGCTCTCCTAAAAATTTATTAATGAAACTTCGCACCCCCTACAAAAAAAAATTATTCGTATGTTTTATGGTAAAAACTATTAGGAGTACAAATAAGTTTCCGCCGTTTGACAAAAGATGGCCCCACCAGAAGGTTATGTTGAAATTGGCAGATGTAAAACGTAATATCGTAAGTTTGGACATCTGGTAACAACATAACCTTGAAGTATTAGTGACTCCGTATCAGCATCACATAATTTTTTTCGTACGAAAATGTCAAGTTTTATGCCGAATAAGCGTTATTTGCGGGAACTTTTGATTTACTTCTTTAATTTGAAGAAATCTGCAGCTGAAGCGCATCGATTGCTTGTAGAAGCATATGGTGAGATTGCTTTAAGTGAGAGAAGTTGTCGTGAGTGGTTTCAAAAGTTTAAAAACGGTAAGTTTGACGTGGAAGACAAAGAACGTAGTGGAAGGCCGAAAGTGTACGAAGACACGGAATTGGAAGCATTATTGGAGGAAGATTTGTGCCAAACGCAAGAAGAACTTGCACTTACATTAGAAGTGACTCAACAAGCAATTTCACATCGTTTAAAATCGTTGGGAATGATTCAAAAACAAGGAAATTGGGTTGAATATGAACTGAAACCGAGAGACGTTGAACGATTTTGCACGTGTGAAATGCTGCTTGCGAGGCATAAAAGAAAGGATTTTTTGCATCGTATAGTCATTGGTGATGAAAAATGGATCCACTACGATAACCCAAAGAAGAGAAAATCATGTGGACCACTTGGCCATGCTTCAACATCGACAGCCAAACCGAATATTCATGGAAAAGAAGTCATGCTGTGTATTTGGTGGGATCAGCTTGGTGTCGTGTATTATGAGTTGCTCAAACCGAGCGAAACCATTACTGGAGCTCTCTACCGAACACAATTAATGAGATTGAGCCGAGCACACAAGGAAAAACGCGCCCATTACTACTCCAGACACGACAAAATTATTCTCCTACGTGACAACGCTCGGCCACATGTTGCAAAGCCGGTCAAAACCTATTTGGAAACACTTAATTGGGAAGTCCTACCCCACCCGCCGTATTCACCAGACATTGTCCCTTCCGATTATCACTTGTTTCGGTCGATGGTACATGGCCTGTCTAAGCAGCGTTTTACATCATATGAAGATACTAAAAATTGGGTCGATTCGTGGATAGCCTCAAAAGATGAAGAGTTCTTCCGACGTGGTATCCGAATGCTGCTAGAAAGATGGGAAAAAGTAGTGGCTAGTGATGGACAATACTTTGAATAAAACTTAATGTACCGTTCTTTCACAATAAATTCCTAATTTTTGATAGAAAACGGCGGAAACTTATTTGTACTCCTAATAGTTGTTAAGATTTTGAGGTAACAAGTTAATTTATAATAACTGATTATTACATAGTATTGTTTTATAGAAATTAACTATCATTTTAATATCATAAAATTATTATCCGTAGTATCAAACTTTACATAGTGATACGTAATGAATATACACGTAAAGATTAGAGATGTGCGAACTATTCGAATTCGGATCGAATCTAATGTAATTCAATTCGATTCGAATCCGAATCCCTATGATTCGAATCCGAATAATACGAATTGGAATCAAATTCATTATCGTTTGCATGCATCAGCTACAAAACGGGCCATCTGGGTCTATTAATTTGTAATTAACTTAACTTATAATTAATAACTTAATTTTAAATTACTTTAAATATTTAAATATAAATTTTATTTTAAGATGATATTACAATATCAATATTCCCTTTCATATTAAAATCTTCCATCATTATTTGCATGTTTAATGGTCATGTTAAATTTTTTAATGTTTTGATTCGATTTCATTCGATTCGATTCGAATTCGAGTGAAATTTCATAGATTCGATTTGATTCGATTTGACATACAAATTCTTGATTCGCACATCTCTAGTATAGATACGTAAAAAATATATAATTTTAATAACATTCTTTTTAATTTGATGGTAAAAATGCCGGATTATTCCAAAATTCATCTTAATCATTATTAATTACAATCACTTTTCCTCGCACTCCCAAGAATGTTTTTTCGCATTCTCGGTTGGGAACCTCTAATGTAAACGTTTAGCAACTGTTGTACGATCAACATTTAATGCTCTGACAACTTCTCAAGTAGATTGTGCTGCATTTTCGTCCAATAATACTTGCAAATTTACATTTTCAAGCTTTATTGATTGTCCCAAGCGATCTTTGTCGTTAACACTGAGATCACCACTTTTGAATCGTCTAAACCAATATTTACATGTCTTATTGATGGGACAATATCACCATAAATTGTTATCAGAATTCTATGACCGTTCAGCCGCCGTTTTCTTTCGATTAAAAAACAAAAGCAACGCATGTCGAAAATGTTCTTTAAAAAGCTCTATTTTTAAGATGATTATTAACACGACTATTATTAACACGATTTTTACTGCGTCTATTGTTAGTAAATGACTAAATATCGTGGATCATATTGAAGCATTAAGAAACAATAACTGTGATCGGAATGTCTTCGATTGCAGCTCTTGCAAAACCCTCAAAACTAAATTGCATTCCTAATAAAAACAAAAAGAAAATAAATAAAATTGGGAAAGTAGCAAGATTGGTGAAGGGATCTTTCGTCATCACGACCGCGACGAATTTGTCGACTTTTCGACTGTAATGTCTTCAACGACGAGTACGAGATATTCACTTCGAAACTTTGTCCTCGGGGATGGTATGCCGATACGTGTCCGTAAGCTGTTAGAGCGAGCGTATTACTCGCACCGGCGAGTGTCGCGGCAGAAAGTCATTTACCTAATAGTATCAGGAACAATCCCATAAGCGCCGAGGATATTACCAGTAGTATCCTGCGCCCGAGTATGTCTATCAGACCGGTTGCTATGAGGCAGGACAGTACTTGCACGACACCAAGGACGACAGTCTGCTCGCTCACGGTCAAGTAGCCCGAACCGCCAAAGTCGAAGAGTATCAACGAGTAGAAGAGCATGATGTTGACGCCGCCTAGTTGCTGCGTGAGGAACGCGAACAGGCACGCGAGGAAGGACCGAGCGACGCGCCAGTTCCACAGGACCTCTCTCGTGATCTGCGGAAGAAAGTTTCTCGCGTTTTGAGGCGCTCCAGTTTTCAGCGATTCGAAACTCGATCTTCAGCTTTAATATTTTAGGTTTCCACGATCTTGGAAAGATACTCGATCTGGCTTCCGGGCTGCTTCCGGGCTGCTTCTGGCCGAGTTCTACGCGAATTTCATTCCGACGCGAACTCTCATGAGCAACCTACTTTGCTATTTCAGCAAACCCATTATCTGTAACTTTCAATGACTTTCGGTGTCGTCATCGTCATGTTGTCGTTCCGCAGCTTTTCCACCATATATTGCACCTGCATAACGATAACGTAACGATAACGACATTGTCGTTGGAAGTTACATAGAATAGGCCAGAGGAGGAACGAGCTGGAAGCGTCAAATATCTCGGTCATTCCTCTCCCCGAAGAAATGTTCACATAATATGTGCGAAGGACGCGGCAATATCAATCAGGAAGCCAGATCAAGAGTTCAACCTTCAGATATCTTGAAATGATCCTCGGCTGACTCTTCCCCGGGAGAGAGTCCCGTTTCTTTTCTCCTTTCCATTTTTATAAATGCGCGGTAACATTTATGGGTCCATGGGAACGCATTGTACTCACCGAGGATTCTCGCCTCCTATTTTGAGGAGGACCGTGTAAAAGCGCACATACTTGTATAGTCTCGAGGTAAGTCTTCCCCCTTAGCTCGCACCCTTATTTCATAGCGGTTACAGTCCCGATATGAGGTTTCCTCGGTTCACGTTACTTTATAACACTCGCAATCGTAGTTGCGAGTTCTTTACGAGCTCGTACGCCGCTCGCCACGAGCAGTAAAGCTAAACGCGCGATGGGGCATTAATTCCACATTCGTCGGAAGCGTGGAGGTTTAATGGATTGTACGTGTCGTATGTCCCGCGAATTTAGGCAGTTTGCCCGCGCGAGTGTCTCCCGCGAGACTCGCCGCATTCACGTGTCAAGCAATTTCCCGGATTGTCCAGGACGTTTACTTCCACATCCTTCGTCGACAAGTTAATGTTTCAAGATGCTATCGGACGCAACTGTGCTACGAGGTAACCTCAGTAGCTAGTTACTACTAGCTGGTTATTACAGCTTCAGTCTCGCGCAGTCTGACTTTCAACGTTCGACTTGATGCGATCACCCACCAACGTGCAGACCTACTAGGGTTGCCAAATCCAAAAGTTAAAATTACCGGACATTTCTTCTTTGGTAACAAAACCAAACCAGACTAAACCGGACAGAAATAATAATCATAACATTATATTAAATACAAAATATAACAAGAATTTATTTACAATATTAATTTCCAAACAATTTTATAAACAAAATTTGATTGAATAAAATAATAAACTATTACTTTTTTAATATATAATATATTTGATTATTGAACACGAAACTAAACAATGTTTTAGCGATGTTTTCCTCATTCTAAGCGCCTACTAGCGGAGTGTTGCGAAGATCGGTGAATGATGGATCGGCAGATCATCTGCTAGATGACATTGCTTTTCGTGGTGCTCGATCGTTTGTAGGCGCTTGAAACGGAGAAACGTTGCTAAAATCTGAACTCTCATTCCATTGATTGAATATAACTTAAAAATCGGACATATGACGTCCGGTTTGACTTGTTAACCGGACACCAGACAAGACTTCTGAAAACCTGATAGTCCGGATCAAAACCGGACAGTTGGCAACCCTGGGGCAACTGAAAAGTAGATTTTACCTTGCCCGAGCGGACCGCGAGAGAGAGACGTTTCAGCTCCTCCATCTCAGCGTCAATCTTGTAAGCGTGGCCGCGAAACCATTTTAGAGAAATCCTCGCATTCGTCTCGTCGTTCCTCGCGAGGTAGCGGAGGGGACTCTCGGGTAGTAGATTTATCAGCGGGATCATGAGGCACGTCACGGCGCAGGTGAGACTGTACCTAATCATCCTATACGTTATTAATGGCGACACGAGCTTCGGCAAGATTTACTTCTGACTCGAGTGACCCTCGCGATTCGTACGGTTTGTCAGCGATGACTCGTTTTAATTAGCGAACCCGAATTCTCGGTCGTGGGAATTATTTCCGCCCGTTAACCCTATCGTCTTTGCAGTTTGGTGTTCTTTGTTAACGAACTAATGACTTGCGAATAACTCGGAGGCAATCGTGTTAGTTTCAAAGCACAGATATCTTTTTTTATATCATATGCAGGATGAGACAATCACTGTTATCGCTCGTATTATTTCACTTGAAAAGAAACGGGAAAATAAACTTTTGAATCAATTTTCCTTCAATCTTTATATTAAATCTAGCAGTGAATTTTCTCCAATTTTCGATAGTTTTCAATCTTTATTTACAAATCAGTAGAATATAGATGGATCAATGAAATATTCTCCGTTGTTGTCGATGATCTTATTCCATTTCTTGAGCAGTTGCCGAATCCCATCGCGATAGAAACTTGGTGGCTATAAAGTCATCAATGAAATTTCGTACATCGTCAACTATCGAGAAAATGGGTATCAGTGTGCATCGACCGAAAGAAATGAAAATCTGACGGAATCAAGTCTGAAAAATACACCGCGTGTGGGAGAACTTCCTAGCCCAAGTGTAAGATGGTTTCCTTTGTAGCTTCTGCTGTATGCGGTTTAATATTGTCGTACAGCAGGATGACTTTATGGCTGCCTCGTCCAGCAAATGGCTTTTTTCCTCGATTGCATTGCTCGAACGTATCAATTGCTCTTGGCAAATCTCTGCTTTAATGGTTTTACCCGGTTGCAAGAGCTCATAGTGCAGCATACCCTTCTGGTCCCACCATATACAGAAAAGAACTTTTTTTTCGAAACGTTTGAGATTTGTTGTCAATATTGTGTGTTGACCAAGGTCTACCCTTGATTTTTTGCGTTTAGGATTTTCATACATAATCCATTCTTCGTCACTAGTTACGATTTTGTGCAAAAAATCTTTTTTTGTTGTCTTGTTTCTTCGTTGTTGATAAACAAGACAACGCATGTGATCAATCGGCGATTTTTGTCATCAATGGTTAGCCCATGTGGAACCTGCACTTTCCTTCTTTCTGTATCTTTCCCATACGATGTAAACGACCGCAAATAACTTTCTCCCAAATGGCTTACTCCCAGCTATTCCGCAAGTTCTTGTTGCGTTTGTGCCATATTTTCATTCACTAGATTCTGCAACTCCCCGTTTTCAAATTTTTCTACGGGAGGTGATTGGAAGAGCAAAATCACCACTTTGAAAACGTTCAAACTAGTTTCGGCACATGCGATCGGTCACAGCATTTTCACCATGAGCAACACAAATCATTTGGGCTGCTTCAGAAGCGTTTTTGTTTAAATGAAATGCGAAATGCATCGCGTATCGAATGTGCTCTTTGTTGATAGCTATTGTGAACACTACTGATTATTTGAGATTATGTGCATCAAACGTTAAACTATATGTCATTTCAAAAAGTTAAACGTCAATACTTTAGAGCCGCAAAAGAGAGCAGGGGAATATTTCAATTTCAAATTTTGCTTTATGCTATGTAAATTTCATTGGGAAGAATTAACTGCTAGACCTAATATCTCAAAGATATTCAAGGTGCTTACATAACTATTTCCTTAATCTGCATATTATCTCTTGCTATCAGCAGAAAAGTGAAGGTCGTTGTAAGATTAAAATATTTATTATCAAGGCTTTGCTTTGCGAGTACTACCTCCATACAGCGTCCTCTTCATCCAACACGTGAGCGATCACGAAGGCGTACATGATGCCGCAGTCGATCAGCAGATGGAAATACATAAGAAGACGATCCCGCGAGTTCTGGTCTGCGATTTCCCCGATGTAGAGCGGCGTCAGGACGCAGAACGCGCCACCGCTCGCGCCGCAAACAAAGCGGCCGATTATGAGCAGTAAGACCTACGAAAATCTGAATTATCATGCGGCCTATCCTTGTGAAGGACCAAAATGGAGACCTAATTTATACTGAGTATATCTGACCACCTGTCTACCTCGATTTTTTTGTAAACGCGACATTTTAGACAAAAATATTTCAGAGAAAAGTTATTTGGTTTCAAGAGGAACATCAAACAACTGTATCAGTTTGTTTACAGATGGCGCCATTTTCGAGATATTCACTGATCATTACTTTTCTCAAATGGAAATCCCAATTTATTATATCATTTTTTCCCACCAATTAATTTGAACAATTGTCGTCTGAAACATTTTTTTATTTGCTTAATATGTTCTGAGATACTTCGAGAAAATTTGGTAACTTTTTCAACATTTAACTTACGATATCTTGTTAACTGTTTATTGAAAGAAAAAATGTATTAAACTTTTTTACTCTATTTGGCCAAGAATATATTGTTACAATAAGAGCCCTGATATTTGATTAATTTGATAATTTTAAAATTTCCAGAAATCAATAAGTTAACAAAAGTTAACAAAAGTTAAGGCATTAATGTAGCAATATATTCTTGAGACTAAATAGAGTAAAAAGTTTAATACCAGTTTTTCTTCCAACAAACAGCGAGATATAGTAAGTTAAATGTTGAAAAAGTTACCGACTTTTCCTTAAATATCTCAAAAAATGTTAGGCAAATAAAAAAATATTCCAGACAAAAATTATTCAAATTAATTGGTAGAAAAAGATGATGTAATAAAAAATTGGGATTTCCATTTAAAAAAAGTAATGATTAGTAAATATCTCGAAAGTGACGCCATCTGTAAACAAACTGAGATATAGTCGTTTAATGTTTCCCTTAAAGCCATACAACTTTTCTCTGATACATTTTTTTCTAAAATGTCGCGTTTACAAAATAATCGAGGTGGACGGGTGGTCAGATACACCCGGTATAGAAACGTAAGTTCCACTCGGTTCGGCGACTGATCAGAGCATTATGAGGCTTCAGGCTATCAAATGAACGTTAAATGTGGCATTGAAGTCGAAAGTACAATAGGATCGAGATTTCGTCTCGGGATCGCATATGACATTTAGCTCGTGAACTCGCGACTCAACGGCGCGGCATGTGAAGGCATACTTTCTGGCCTGCGAGGCAGATAAATGACCACCCGACGATAAATCCCAGCGTGGTCAAGAGCAGGGTTGCAACGCGGCTGAGATACTTGGTAAGGAAAGGAGCGAGCGCCACGCCGACGCAGGCGCCAGCGTTCAGGATGCCGCCGACCAGGCCGATCTCGGTGCCGCTCGCGTCCAGGATGTCTCGCAGGACCTTGCCGGCGCTGGAGTTCCAACCGAGCGTGATGCCGAGGCTGAAGCCACCGAGGGAAGCTGGATTTGTGGGACACAAAAGAATTGTCAGTTTGACACTCGTTCCGCGCAATTTGCCGTGCGCTGCGCCTCGTCGGACGTGTCTCGCCAGAATGCCACCGAAGTATTACTCATTAGCGTTGATTTGTCATTATGCGTGCCAAAATTGTTGCAAAATTTCCGAGTTTGAGGGACTTCAAGCGAGCACGTTTCTCGCTTCTGCTACGACAATTGCGGCTGTATCGTCACGAAGGCGAATTGTCGGAGTTACGTTTCTGTATTCACCGTTCAAGTTCGCGGTTCGTCTTATGTATGGATAATGCTCTTTGTACTTGCAAAAAGATAATTGGATTTTCAAGCTAGGAAGAGCAAAAGAGCAAGACGGAGCAGAGAGAACGGGGTGGGGGGTCATGACTGTGCATATGTTTCGGGTTAAGGGTGTTTTTAATATTTTCTCGCGTAATCGAAAAATACGGATCGATACTTCTTGCATATTCAAGAGTGCGTTTGCATGTCCCACTTCATGAGTAATGAATACGGAGAACCTAACCTGCGCATACCTCTTGAATATATAATAACTCTTAAGAATATTGCTTTTTTCCTCGAGATCAAAAAAATTGAATTTCGCGGTAACATATCGGAGATACTTGACCGTCTCGTGTGTGTAATTAACGTTCGCATGTTGCTAATATAATAAGACATATAGGGATATCCTTTTCAAGAGACAGAGAGAGAGACAGAGAGAGAGAGAGAGAGAGAGAGAGAGAGAGAGAAACACATAAATATCTAGTAATATCATGCGATATACGAGCGAAACGAGTTGGCATTCAAGAGCGCATGAATTAAAAAAATACCGCGCGATACATATATTCATATGGAGTGCGGCGGGAATTATGCTGCGGACGGAGAAGGCGTGCGCTCTTGCGTAAAAATAGAGATGGAAATGTAGAATAAATTCGCTCGTGCACGAAGAGCTTTGTTCCCGAGGAAATTACATTCGTTCTTACATGTTGGATAATTAATAATTAGAGTTAATATGTCTTCCGATGGGATCTGCACAAAGTAGCGAACCAATTTTCACCGCATTAAACGCGAACTCTGCAAATATAACAAAGAGAAAGGAAAGGGAAAAGAAACGCCGCAATTCGCGTGAAACGCGGAAGAGATGAGACGAGCGACGGGTATTTGGCGCACAAGAGCGGGCTGCTCTTCTCTCGCAATTTAATCATTTCTTCATCACCGCGCTCTGCTCCACGCGATTGTGCGGGTGAGTTTGCGTAATTATTTCGCCCTCGCCAAACCACCTGCGCTGCCCCGTGCAAGTCCATTTCCGCGCGGCGTTATTGTTTGCTGTGCATTTTCCGAGCTGTCGTGGGGCTGTCCGCTAACATTTTCTTTATTTATCTTTCTTAGCGTCAATACCGTCGCGCCGCCAACCCGCTAATTGGTCACCGGTAGCCGCGAGGACCTTTAATTAATTTCACTTAAGTACCCTATAGGATAGCGCAGTCTATTTACCAGAACTCAGAAATTTCTTCGTCGTCGTCGCCGTCGCTGTCGCTATCGTGAGGTCTCTCCGAAATAAACGACCGAGCGTTTGCGTGGGCAAAAAACGGCGCGGGCAAAAATTGAACAACCGTTGGAGGAAGTAACGTACAGTTCCCTCGCGAGCGCGACATAAAGTCTCAATTTTCTTCCCTCGTGGATTCGCGAGAGGGGCAGAAAAATCGGCGCGATTAAAATCGGACAATGGCTTTTCAAATTTTGCCTCTCCGCGCCACACTTCCATCAACTCTTGAAAGAGAGAGAGAGAGAGAGAGAGAGAGAGAGAGAGAGAGAGAGAGAGAGAGAGAGAGAGAGAGAGAGTGAGAAGGAGAGAGGGGAGGGGGAGAGGAACGATATATATCAAGCAGTTTCGTACGCTCGTCGACGTCGAGTGCTGTCTTGCGATTCATAAAGCGACAGGTAAGAGCGGCGTTTACGAAATTTACCTACGAGCGCAGCGACGTGCTGATTCGACCGTCGGATCTTGGCGTTGTCGTCATCTCCGGAAGTCAATGTCGACGTCATTTCCGCAACGGACGTGATGAGCGATACCGTCTAAGCGCTGTCACCGCTCCCAGCTGTCAAGCAGCGATATACACCGTCAGTCGATCCGAGAGAACTCAGCCGTATGACTGATCGCACGGCCGACTCTCTTTGCCCCGCTTCGATAGGAACGACTATCGACTTTGCGTTTAATACGCTACCAAATGTTTCGCCAACCTGCATTGTTTTACCGTGCGCCTCGATTCGTGAGTTATTGCGAATGCACACACATACACACACGCGCGCGCATACGTCAGAAATCTTAAATGCACCTCGACCGCTTCGACGTTCGGATCGCCATTCACGGCAAACACGGAAACGCTCGAAGCTGAATTTGCGAAAGAGGACTTTTGCTACATCTAGAAATCTGGAAATATTCACGGAAGAGATATAAAATCGGGGCTTCCGTTTTAACATATTTATTTTACATTTCATCTTTCAACTTGATAAAACCGATCTCTCATGACCATCTATCGGTTACTGAAAAAGTCGTCTCTCTTTTCAATACCGTTCTCTTGACCTGATTTAATTAATAAATAATTTCATTCATCGGCGTCCCTCGCGTGCACGTATGGAACTCGGAGCGTTCGGCAGAATCAAATTCTCTCTTCTCTCTCTCTCTCTCTCTCTCTCTCTGGCGGAGGCTACAAGTAGTGGCGCAGTACGTAAGGTACTTGCCCCAATTTGCCGAGGAGCTTAGGAACCGATTCTGTACTTCAGCACGTCTTGTACGAAACGAGATAAATCCGATTATTTTGATGGACATGGACGCGCGATTTGCCGTTGCAAATCACTCCAGCTTGATGCGCGCGACAAGGAGCATTTTGATTAAAACTATTGACTAGCCCTTGAAGCGTGGAACTTTAATTATTGTCGATCCTCGATCGGGCTCTTCATCAGGAACCATCGAGCTCCGCCGAGGTGTGGCTCGGATCGCTGTACAATCAATCAGAGGACCATTGTACAGCCTCGCGGGATAATCCATCATGGAGGCTTCTATCCTGTCGATTGATGTACTCGTACTTCTGGATAACATCCGGCGAGAGAAAAGCTGCTTTTCAATCACGCAGCCGGGTTCTTCGGGGTTTGTATCTTTGAGTCCTCTCCGAATGCACCGCGACGAATAAAACGCGAAAATACTTCTCCTCGCGACGGATTCTCCGGGTTATCGGAGATGCGTTTATCAGCGCGCGACGAATCAACGTGATGTGCGATCTCAACTTCTTTTCCCCAACTTTAGCTTCTTTCTCTCTTTTATTTAGAGCGATTGATCTTTGCGTTTGATTATGTATGACAGCCATTTGACTCGAGCGTCAAAGGAATCGAACGATTCCTTTCGATCTGATTTTCAAAATGTCTGCTTCGCTCGCTCGCTCGCGCATTTCGCGCGGCTGGAAAAGTATTAGGTTATTCGGGAAGTAATTTCGGTTTTTTCAAATAGATGGTGTTAGTTGCTTTTTTAAGCAGTTTACCTTATTCTAAACCAGAAAATCATTTTACATTTTTACAATGCACATTTCTTTATTTGAAAAAGAGATGTTCTGGCATCTGTTAAGTTGGTTTTGTTTGGGGTCGCATTAAAAATAGAAAACCAACGTGAGCATTTTCATCACATTTTGCTTTTTTATTACCGTAAAGGCAAAAATGCAGCGCGAGCAAGAAAAAATTTGTGTGCCGTGTATGGAGAGGATGTATTGATTGAATTGGCCAGTGTCAGAATTGGTTATTGAAATTTCGTTCTGGGAATTTCGACCTCAAAAATACACCACGTTCTGGAAGGCCAGTTGAGGCTGATGAAGACCGAATAAAGGGCATTGATGAATGTAGATCGTCATTTAACAACACAAAAAATTGCTGAGAGATTGAATTTATCGAACTCGACTGTGCATGAGCATTTGAAATTTGGTTTCGTTTCGAAGCTCGATATTTGGGTTTCACGTTCTCAAAGAAAGATATTTGATTCGTCGCATTACTATCTGCAATTTGCTGTCGAAACGTAATACATAGCTAATATCCATTAAAAGAAAGTGATGCTCTCTGTTTGGTGAGATTGGAAAGGAATAGTCTTTTCTTTGACCTGCTACCAAATAACCAAACGATTGAGTCGAATATGTGTATTGTCAGCAATTGGATAAATTGAATTATTCCATCAGGCAGAAGAGACCAGAATTGGCGAACAGAAAAAGTATTATGTTTCATCATGACGCCAGACTTCACACAAGTTTGACTCACCCGAAGCTGTTAGCACTTAAATGGGATTTGCTACCGCATTCATCATATTCATCTGATCTGGCACCATTCGATTATCATTTGTTTCGGTGACTGCAAAATTCTTTGGATAGTAAAAATTTCGATTCAAACGAAGGTATTAAAAACCACTTAATTCAATTTCTTGCCAATAAGGACCAGAAGTTCTACGAATATGGAACTATGTTATTACTTCAAAGATGGCAAAAGGTAATAGAACAAAATGATCAATACTTAAAAGAATAAAACTTTTCTTTTTATTGAAAAGATCGTCTTTCATTTTCATGTGAAAAGCTGAAATTACTTTCCGAATAACCCAACCCAATAAAGTGCGTCGGGCACTTTATTTTTTGCGTTTTTGAAAACGCCGCTGCAAAATAGCCGCTCGTGTGTGCACATCGCCGTGTGCGAAACACGACATGTCATATCGACGGTTTTTTTTCGCCGCACAGCTATTTCGACGCGGCGATGCATGATGTGAAAACGCAGCTGGCTGGCGCGCGGTCTAATTGTCGGAAATATTATATTCAACATCGATTGTCGCTCCGTAAATGTTTACTCGACAACAATCACTGCGAACGAGTTTTCCGTTCCTTTTTTTTTTCTGCGTGATTCTGCACCAAGCTGCAAAATTCAACGCGATCGTGAGATTCGCCACGGCGACGGTACTCGATACGAAGTTACGCGGAAGATGCGAAATTCGCGAGGTTTAATATTCGACACGCGAGATCCGTCTTCCCTCGGTCGGATGAATACGGCGTGCTTAAGAGACACTTGAGACGACGACGACGAAGATGATAAGCGAGGGGAACGTCCTGTAATAATAGAAATACTTTTGCTTCTTTTCAGAATCAACGACAGCGCAGAAACGAGGCGAAAGTACCGTGCTCCTGTATGGTGAGTACGGTAGAATGCACTTTCCCCTTTCGTACATTTTCACAAAATCGCAAATGTTTCTCCTCGAACGGAAAAAAAGGTATAGTTTTCATTATCGCGTACTTCGCCATTTCAAATGATTGTCGCCGGCTCTGAGCGGCGCAGCGCGAACTTATCTTCCAATTAACGGGCGTGCGCTTTTATTTATCTTTCCTTTCTCGTGCGCTGCTTGTAGCAGCCTGTCTCCGTGTCGCGCGGACGTAAAAAAGAATCCAACGTTCGCGTAAAACATCGCGTAAAATCTCACGTCTGCTCGCGGATAGTTGCAGGCGTCTCGAGCGAGATGACTGGTAGCTGAGGGATTTCATCAGCCGTTGCGAATAGCTATTGCAATTTTCTGGTGTGCGCGAAATCCGCGGACGACGCCTACCAGCGTGAGAATGCGAGCTTGCGAGCGGCGCAGGGCGTATAACACGCCGGATATAAAGTTCTATCGCGTTAGATTCGCGTTTTATGTTGAAATTCGAAACGACGAAGATTTAACGTGCGTGCGTGCGCACAGAGAGCTTCCAATATGCACCGAAGACTTATGTATATTTGCACGTGCGTGTGTGTGTCATAAGGATTTTCCGACGAAACAGAGAGAGAGAGAGAGAGAGAGAGAGGGGGATGTGAGAGAGAGAGGGGGGGAAATAACAAAGGATTTTTGAAATTACTTTCTAACGGTTAAGTTATATTTCTGTGTTTTTCAGATTACTATATTTTTCCCAGTGGAAGCGTCGTTTCTCTTGACTATGGGAAAATATCGTCACTAAAAGACCCACAGTCCTCGGTACTAAAACTCGGGATGCCTCCCAAGACAATAAATATAATAAACATATCTCTAACATGCGTGATATACGTAAAAATCAAGCAAGATAACGATAGATGGAGAAATAAAATGTTAATAGCTTAACAAAAAAAAATTCGAGTTCTACGTTTATGTCATGAATTGATTCTTCTATGTTCTTCTGATATAGAGAGCGTTTTAGTATGTATCTTTAAGGGAATTTTTATTATAGTGAAAAATGTAATTCTAACTCAGTGCATTCTTTATTTTAAAAAATATATAATTCATTCATAGAAATAAAATTATATACAGAGTGTTCATTTGAAAACTTCCCAGCTAATTATCTCGAAAACTATGAAAGATATTAAAAAAGCTGAAACACGTGTTCCATGATTTCAAAGGGGAAAGAGAATGGTATTATCAGTTTTTTATTTGGAGGGCATTTTCAAGGTTAGTTGAAGGTCAACTTAATTTTTTTAAACAGAAAGCCCAATTTTTTATTATGCTTTCTTTTTCTACCAATTAATTTTAACAACTTTTGTCTGAAATATTTTTTTATTTGCCTAATATTTTTTGAAATATTTAAGGAAAACTTGATAACTTTTCCAACATTTAACTTACGATATCTTGCTAACTATTCGTCGAAAGAAAAAATAGTATTAGACTTTTTTACTTTATTTATTATCAAGAATATATTATTATAATATTGCCCTAACTTTTATTAACTTATCGACCTTTGAAAATTTCAAAATTATTAAATTAACAAAAGTTAGAGTACTATTATAGTAATATATTCTTGATAGTAAATTAAGTCAAAAAGTCTAATACTATTTTTTCTTTCGACGAATAGTTAACGAGATATCGTAAGTTAAATGTTGAAAAAGTTACCAAGTTTTCCTTAAATATTTTAAAAAATATTAGACAAATAAAAATATGTTTTAGACAAAAGTTGTTAAAATTAATTGGTTAAAATTAATTGGTAGAAAAAGAAGATATAATAAATAATTGAATTTCTATTTTATATATTTATATATATATTTATATATATTTATATATTTCTATTATATATACATTGAATTTTTATTTTAAAAAATTAAGTTGATCTTTAACTGACTTTGAAAATGCCCTCCAACTAAAAAACTGATAATCCCATTCTCTTTCCCCTTCGAAATCATGAAACACGTGTTTTAGCTTTTTTTAATATCTTTCATAGTTTTCGAGATAATTAGCTGGAATGTTTTCATTTTACACAAATTATGATAATGGATTCTGAAAACGCGTAAAATTTTGCGAAAGAAATGATATTTTTCAATTTTTTTTAGACCTTTAACGTTGCAAATAAAATCGCTGAAAATTAT